CAATTGCAATTTTAAGCAAATTACATACAAAACCTAGACGCCTGCAGACATCGCACTGCGATACAGGTGCATTAGGTAGGTCTGTAATTGCTAGAGGAGTATTTCATGACATGCACAAGCTTTTGCCCAGTGCCAAAAAGAGAGATTAGTCTTACAGATGCATTACTGCCTCTGCCATCCTCTTCCTTCCTGAAGCACCTTCCTATTTGATGCCTGTAAGTCCAGCAAAACCACGTTAAAAGCAAGAAGCAGCTTTAAAATGGCCTTGTCTGGAGGTGTCAAAGCACAAGACAGCTCTGGGGTAAGGCAGAAGTCTTACTCCAGCCAAACTTCTGCTCCTCAATGTTTGCTCTGGGACCAACAACAGCAGATCCACCTCCTGGAGGACCTGGTAACCCATTTCCAAATCCAAAAGCCTCCCTTGGAACCGCTTCACCGGCACACGGTCAGTGAGCACCATCAGTCATCCCTTGGGACGGCTGTTCCTACCTTCCTTGGTGGAGACCTGCATCCTGGTGGCCGGCAGCCTGCAGAGCCTGTGCTTGGTGATCTGCACCAGGCCCTTGGGCGAGGAGCGTTTCGGCGTCGCCGAAGGTTTCCCCCGTGAGGAGTTTTTCTTCCTGAGATGGAAGTGGCTTTTCAGAGGTGTGGTGGGCGAGGAGCTGTTCTTCTTATCTGTCGGAGAACTGCGAAGGGGAACGCCACACGGTTAGAAGAGGGTAGACATGACCAAAACGCACTTGGTCCCCTTGCCCAGAGCTGAGAAGAGAAGCTGGGTCACCAAACTCCACATTGCTCCCCTACCCAAGGGTGAGAAGAAGCACCAAAGAGAAAATTGCAAGTAAATAGGCAAGCGTGATGAATTTCTGGCAAAGTACAGACGGAGAATGAGGCATTTGAGAGCCAAACTCAACTCATTCCCTTCTGCTTTCTGCTCAACAGATGCAGGGGAGAGGATGCTGTCCTTTAGCAAGATGAGGGGGGTCTCATCTCCCTGACTGCCAAAAATCCAATACAATCCCAGTTTCTCCAAGCACCTCGCTGGAGCAAGATCCTTGCTGGATCTTCCTAGCACAATCCACTCACAGACATGTCTCCCAGCAAACCAGGAGGGCAAGGCAAGGACGGAAATGTGTGGTGAAGTGCTGAGTGGAGGATCTGGGAAACAGAACCAGGAACTGAGGCACCAGATCCTCAGTCGGCGCCGTGTTACCAGCTCACTGCATGACGTAGAATAATTACTTAAGCCACAGTCCTCAATTTTCAAGAGCTCAGGCTTGGAGTTACTGCAGTGACAAAGGAGCCAAACCACGCGTGCACTACGCTGAGGATATCTCCAAGTTCAGTGGTAGAGTAGAGGTCACACAGATGTGCCACCAACCCTCACCCCATCCCTCTTATCCCTTCCCTGCAGCACAGGCTGGGCTCGCATCCAGCCCTGCCAAGAAAAGTGGCACAAAACAGCTTTCCCACCAGGAGCACAACTTAACGAAGCCCTCGCAACACTTCCACGACACACAAGCTTTCAGAGAAAGTTTGGTCCCAATCTCTTATCTGTTTCCCCTCGGCTCCCAGCCCGGTGCAAAGCCCTTTTGCAGATAACTCGGCCCACCCACCTTTTCCTTCCGCCAAGCTTCATTTACAACCTTCCCATTGCACTCTGTTCCTATCAGACACGGCCGGAGGGAGAACTTGCTCCACAAGACCCCAGGATTATCTGCTGATCCGGCACAGTGCGCTCTCCCAGGGTAGCTACGACGGCCACAGATCTGTCACCGACTCAACAAGGAGAAGAAAGAGCAAGAGCCTTCAGAGAGGACCCTTTGGGTTACTGGTGGGTAGCACAAAAGGATGGCACCCAAGGGAGGAAAGTACCAGCAGAGCATCATGGACAGCACTTCTTCCCAGCATGCACAGCTCACCTCCCATCCCTGCTCCATCCCACAATGCTTTACAGGGACAGACCATACACGATACAGCGATTTAAGCCACTTCTCCTCCTTTCCCCAGCCCCCAATGTAACAAAGTTACGGGAATTAGAAAATAAATCAATAAAGGAAGACAGCTATTTCCTTCCCTTTCAATATCAGTCTGTTATTCAGGTCAGGGAGGAGTCTCCTAAGTGCTGTGGCAAAGTCTTCGGAGAACAGGGATGGGAGATGAGAAGAAAACCCAGCTCTGTTTGAAAGGTTCAAGTCAGAGTTACACAGACTGCTGAAACAATTAAAACATGAGGCCTTTCAGCCCTGGAAAGCGGGATGCCTCCACCCAGAACAAAGTCACCGCACTTGGAAAGAGAAAGGCAAATATACCTTCCAGTATACAACAACCCTCGGTGGAATTTCACTCGTACGCATGGCCATGACTTATGTGAGGCCAACGGACATCAAATACGACGACTACAACGACACCGCTCCAAAGGCGACCAGCAACTTACCCCGAGCTTCCTTTTCTCTTGATAATTTTTGTCCGACTCTTCACTTTGTAACTGGACAGCGCGGCATCGCCGAAGGAGGACTTCACCCCGCCGAGACCAAGGGACGCAGCGCTCGGAGGCGGCGGGGCGCCGCCAGCTCGAGGGAGGTTGGGGGCTGGAGGCTTTTTCTGATCCTCGGATCGCCACCTGAATGCTGACTTGGAGGTGGAGGGCAAGGTCTGGAGGCTGGAGGCTTTCCACTTATACTTGCTGGGAGAAACCCCCAGTTTGGTCTGCAGTCCCGATTTCTTCAGCTTTGCTCCCGAGTCTGTTTTTGGCGATAGTTTAGCACCTTTGTCTGCTCCACCAGCAACCTTCTTAGCACTTTCAGAAGCTCTAGGGCTGACCCATCTCTTCACAGTACGAGAGCATTTACCAGGGTTTGCAACCCACGTGTAATTAGTTTTCCTGAACTTTGGAGCTTTGCTGGAGATGGATGTTGAGGCAGCTCTTTGGAGACCGGCAGCTTTGGAGACTACGGAAAACTTGCTCTTTGTTGGTGTCATCCCAACCACCAAAGCCGCAGCCTGAGCAGGTCGAGAGCACGTCTCACCATTTCCAAGGAGCTTCGGCCCTCTGAACGCATCCCTGACTTGCTCACAACTAGACTGCCCTGGAGCTGGCGGTTCTGCCTTCCTCCGTACCAAGTGCCGAGCCGGCTCGCGATCTGGCAACACAGAAGGCTGCTGTGGCTCCGATTTCAGCGTCACAGCGCTTTCACTGGTGCTTCCGCAGGAGGCAGGGGAGCTCCCGGCCACGTCGCCAGCCAGACGCACCGTTCTAGGCTTATCTGACACGCTCACGTACGCTGAGCTCACAAACCGGTGAGATGAACTAAATGAAACAGAGAGAGAGGGTCTTCTCTCTTCATTTCGGCTTGTGTACGGAGATTTCTGCACATTTTTACTGTCACCTGGAGCAGTGACCACCGTTTTCAGCCCAGAAAACTCACAGTAAGAACCTACATCAGCAAAACCTTTCGTATCTACGTACGGGCCAGCCCTCTGTGGCAGCTGGATCCCCACAACTATATTACCATCCGTGGTTAAGTCCACATGTCTCTCTGGGGACGATTCTGGTGGCTCAGCTGCCTGGCTGTCCCCATGGCTTCCAAAAGCCTGAGACGTGCTGGCACTTCCACCGCTTCCAACGTCATACGCCGATCCCGGTGGCCGGTTGACGAGGGAATATTTTTTCCTCCAGGAGTGACCCTGGAGCAGCTGGAAATCCCTAGGAGCCTGCTGAGGGTACCTGGCCGAAAATGCCCCCCTCCTGCT